GAGCGGCCTGATCCTACGTCATGCGCCAAAAGATGCGATTGGCTGCGACTTGGAAAAACTCTAGTTGCGCATTTTCACGGCAAGCCTGCCATAGCGTTTGCTCTAGCGTATTAAAACATTGAAAGATAAAATAAATTATAACATGTTGGAATCGTACTTATTTATAATATTTAAAAAGCCTTAAAATCTAAGGTAGACCAAGTAAAGTGAAACTATGCGTTCGAACCTGTTATTTAGTCAGGAAAAAGGAAGCCATTAAGAAAATTCTTGCTAACTAATAAAGTTTGAGCAATTTTTGTATAGTACAGAGCCAATTAAAGAGCGTTGCCAATAGGTGTAGTTAATAAATTTGGCAATGTTTTTGTTTAGTTGTACTCCGAAAGCTGAGTTTTAACTGCGGATAGCTTAACTGTTCTCTGACTTGATAGACTGTTAGTGGTTTTGATGCATATTTTACTACATTTACCTGATTTAAGCATTTTTTTCATTAAACGATCTGGTTAATGAACCACGCTCATGATGTTGGTAATTTAGGAGAATCTGAACAAATTTTGAAGCTTCTAGAGCAAATGACTCAGCACATACAGCATCAAGTGACTATTTTTGGCATAAAACAAAGTGCTTTTAGCAAATTGGGTGAACTTTAGGCCACTGTTGCATTGTCTAGTGGTTTTCCTTCGCTTAGGTAGATTGCCCAACGTTTGGTATACTTTCGCACTTTAAGGTAGTTTTTGGTCCCTAAATTAACAATCTAGCTTAGAAATAGTACTTCTCATTTGGATCTGTAAGACGACTAGTATGTGCGCCTCCAAACAAGATGCAAGTAAACTACAAAACGTATCTATCCGCACTGTAGAGACATGAGTCTTCTTATGATCTTCAGCAACCGCGAATTTGCACGATGTGGAGGACATATACAAAAAGCATTCACAATACTACCAATGTCCACACAGCACATGGTGGATTGACCACACCCTTTTCTCTTCTATATTGCGAAAGATCCAGGCCACACTTTACAAGTGTCAACAATGCAAATTTTGCTATCCGACGAACGAATCCCGAGCGGTTATTAAGCATGTAATTTCACCTTCAGTAAAAATAACAAATCCATTAAAGTTCATTCCACAATGCATTTGTGCATTATCCTTACCGAAATCCAAAGCCAACCATTTTAGGAAACTGTTGTGACACCCTCTATCCTCACACTATCAGCATCGTTCTGAATCCACCATCTACTGAGAGAGTACTCCGGATGTTCGCTACCCCAAAAAAGTTTTCTGCATAAATTAATAGAAATTCTAATCGCTAATTGCCAAGCAAACTTAGGAGGTAAGAGTTGCGTTCTTATTTTTCCCTTCCTAATTAAAATGACATCTAACAGGA